CAAAGCTTCAGAATCCTTGCCTCCAAGAAGCAGCCCAGTTTAACCCTCTCCAGGATGAATCTGTTTTCTTGGCAGTCCATGATATATATATTCAATACTCTTCTCCAGTGCCACAGTTCAAAGGCATCAATTCTGCTTCTATCCTCCCCAGTCATTGTCCAACTCGCTGATGCGTAACAAGTGATTGCAAAGACCATGGCCTGTATCAGATGCACACCATTGCTATTCAGTACTTTGGAGAGGTCCCCAACAGCAAACTTTCCGATCACAATATGTCTTTGAATAGGAGATGAATCTTAGCGTAAAGCAGAGAGTACCAGAGGAATGTCTTTTCAATAACTATGAAAAGGCATTAACTATGGGGACCACAACAAATTGTGGCTAACATTGAGAAGAAAGGGAATTCTAGAACACTTGACTGTGCTCATGAAAAACCTCCACTTGGACCAGGAGGCAGTCTCAGAAAAAAGCAAAGAAGCACTACATGGTTCGAATTAGGAAAAGTGTGTACCAGGGATTCATCCTATCTCCATATCTTTTCACTATAAATACAAAACCAATCACCTGAGGGGCTGGACTTTATGAGGAGAAATGTGGCATCAGAATTGGAGGAAGGCTAATCAACAGCCTGTGTAAGGCAGATGACACAACCTCACTTGTTGAAACTGAGGAGTACCTGGGGCATTTGCTGAAGAAGGTCAAGGACTGGAGACTTCAATACGGACTGAAACTCAACAGCAAGAAAACAAAGATTCTCACTACTAGGCCAAATGGAAGCATCATGATGGAGAAAAGATTGATATTGTTAACAGCTTCAATCTGCTTGGCTCCGCAATCAACACTCTTGGTATCATCAGCCAGGAAATCAAAGTACAAACTGCACTGCTGTCAGGGACCTCTCCAGAGTACTGAATAGCAGAAGTGTCAGTCTAGAGACTAAGGTACACCTGATCCAGACCATAGTCTGCATAATTACTTGGTTTGCATCAGAGAGCTAGACAATGACTAAGGATAATAAAAGAAGAATTAATGCCTTTGAGTAGTGGTACTGGAGACAAGTACTGAATATGTTAAGGACTGCTAAAAGAACAACAGGTTCATCCTGGAGAGGGTGAAACCAGGGCTGCTCCTTGGAGGCAAGGATTTTGAAGCTCCATCTGATATATGTTGGGCATCCTGCCAGGAAGGACCAGGCCTTAAAGAAGGATTTGGTGCTTAGAAGGGTGGAGCGGCAGTGCAAAAGAAGGAAGAGCCTGGATGAGATGCTTTGACTCAGTGACTAGGGTAATGAAGGTAGTTGTGTCAGAGATAATGTCATTGGCTAACGATACAAAAGAGTTCAGAGCTGTTGTACATAGAATCGCTATGAGTCACAAGCTATTCAACAACACATAACAGCAACAAATGTGATTTGATAGCTGTTATAAATAAATATTGTTAGTTGCTGTTGAGTTGATGCTAACTGCAACCCCATGAGTGACATGGATGCAAGGTACAACTGCTCTATAATGCATTCAAGGCAAAGACCTTTCAGAAGATGATCATCAGGTCTGTCCAAGGTGCCTCTCGGTGTTTCTGGAAGTCAAAACACCGAACTGTGTACACCAATCGGAGATTCCTTCTTAACAAAGAGATTACAAGACTACGTAGAAGAATATCTAAGAGCACAGAAAAATGAATAAGGTGCATAGTCAACAGATTAAATGGTTGTAAAATATAAAATTGCTTCTTTGAATACATACCCAGACACACAGAGAAAAAGGCAAGTTAACATCAATAATGTGCAGATAATAAAATTGCTTATTTTACTTTTATTTTTGCTTTACTAATCCATCTCTTTGTACATAGGGTTTCCAGAGGCCTACTATTTCAGAAGTGGATGGCCAATCCTTCTTCCTAATCTGTCTTAATCTGAATGTTCAGATTTGAAGAAGTATCAGACAGACCAGCATTTTACAGGAAACTTGAAAGATATATCCCTTATTGTGGAGTTAACCATCAGTATCAGTGTTGTCCCTGCCTTGGGCACATGTGTCTTTACCTACTTATTTACCTGCTCCACCATCCACCAGGATACCCATCCACTTCTACCCACTCCCTTCAACAGTCAAGGACTGCAGCCTCCAAAATGGATTGAGGCTCAATGTCAAGAAGACAAAGATTCTCACCAATGGACCAATTGACAGCATCAGGATGGATGGTGAAGAGATTGAGATTGTTCACAGCTTGAGTTTGCTTGGCTCCACAGTCAACACTCTTGGCACCAGTAGCCAGGAAATTAAAAGACATATTGCCATGGAAAAGTCTGCTCTTAGGGACCTCTCCAAAGTACTGAAGAGCAATGGTGTCTCTCTAGAGACTAAGGTGAGTCTGATAGAGGCCATGGAAAAGTCTGCTTTTAGGGACCGAAGAGCAATGATGTCTCTCTGGAGACTAAGTTGAGTCTGATACAGGCTTTGGTCTTTGCTATCACTTGTTATACATCAGAGAGTTGGAGAATGACTAAGGAGGATAGAAGAATTGATGCCTTTGAGCTGTGGTGCTGGGGAAGAGTACTGGATGTACCATGGAGTGCTAGGAAAACAGATTGATCCTGGAGAGGGTTAAACCAGTTGGCTCCTTGGAGGCAAGGATTCTGAGGCTCCGTCTAACATACTTTGGACATGTTGTAAGGAGAGACTGGTCCTCGGAGAGGGACATCATGCTTGGGAGGGTGGAGGGACAGCACAGGAGGGGAAGGTGCTCTATGAGGTGGATTGATTCAGTGACTGGGGTAATCAGGATGGCTGTGTCAGAGACAGTGCGAATGGCACAGGACAGAGCAGAGTTCAGGGCTATTGTATATAGGGTCACAAGCGACTCGATGGCACTTAACAACATAACAACAACAATAATCCATCTCAAGTGTTTGATAATTAGGCCAAATTTCTTTTTAAATAAAGTATTTGTCTTTTAAAAAAATCAATTGAGACTCCAACTGTTGTTCAGGCATTCAAACCACACATCTGCAGACAATGTCTGCAAACCAACTACGGCTTGAAATAAGACACTTTTTTTTTCAACCACAAGCATTTTAGAATAAAGTGCTCTTCTGCCTAATGCTAGTGGGAGTCATAAGAAGAACAGATATAAAACAATTCCACACCAAACTGCTTATGTCAAAACCTCAGCGAAATCATTCCACACATAGGAAAGCTACTTAAGACAAAATATATGCAAAAATATCAAAAGCACCACTATAATTTTATGTCACATGAGAAGGCAAGAAATAGAAAAAGTATATAAAAGGAAATGAAATTTATTCTCTTGTCCTTTATTAAAAACAAGGTCCTTACAATTACAAGGACACTCAAAAGGAAGAAACATTAGTTCACGCAGACTTAAGATGAAACAGAACTCCAAAAGGAGTGATATTTTTTAGTTGATGTTCAGGCTAAAAAGAATAAAACCAGAGACGGCATGACTTAGATTGAAAAGGCAAACATAGAAACCACAGGTGCTTTTTAATACTATCTCCTCACTCCCTGCTCAGAACACCTCTGAAGCAAAAGGGACAATATGACAACTAAAAGAAAATAGGTAAGTACCACCCAAGAACTAGAAAGAATGCTATTCCTGAAGGGATGGCTAGAAATCTCCAGTTCCAGGTAAATATATTTGCTCACACTTTCTGGCAGTCATCTAAACAACGTTCCTTTGGAATCAAATAATTTTATTTTATAAAAATAAAATATCCCAGAGGCTCACTGTTCAAATCCACCAGATGCTCTGCCGGGGAAGGAGGGACAATCTCCTCCTGTACCAGTCAGATCTGATTTGACGGTACACTCACACAAAAATATTAAAATAAAATAAAAATACAAAACAATATAAAATAAGCTTTCCTTCTACATAGTAATAAATATCATGTCCTTCACTGCCTTCCTTTTGCTTTCATTGTCTCTCTTACAGCTAAAAACTGTCTCAAACTACTTCTCTCTATTAACTTCCCTTCTCAATAAAACCATTTATTTGATCTGGCTATCAAAGTTGCAAGCCCCGTATCATAAAACTATAAGGTTAAGTGGTCAAACTCTGAAAAGGGTTATCAGTTAATAATTAAGAGCTATATTGCAAACAACAAATCCTAGCAAGGTTGTGGAGAAACTGGAACCCTTTCTCACAAAGTTGCAAATAGAAATACAATTTGATCTAGGAATTCCACTATTGAGAATATACCCCAAAGAGACCATAACTGACATCCAAGCAGATATATGCACACCCATGTTTATCGCGACATTGTTCACAATAACAAAGAGTTGCAAACGACCTAAGTGCCCCTCAACAAACGAATGGGTAGAGTAGTTGTGGTATATTTGCACAGTGGAATACTCCGCTGCTTTGAAAAACAAGGAACTCATGAAATATTATTCAAAATGGGTGACCTTGGAGGACATTATGCTGAGTGAAATATCTCAGTCTCAAAAGGACTAATACTGCATAGTGCCACTGTTGTAAAACAGGACTGACATTGGGGTTGGGGGGAGACTGAGAAAGATGGAATGAATAATGTATAATGCACTGAAACAGATGAGGGAGAAAACTGTTTAAAAGGGATATGTGATTAAGTATTACTGTCATGACAGGAGTCCAGAATGATGGCTGCATATTGGAGTGGACCTGGGGGTAGGAATTATAAAACAATTAAAGAATTTTTCTTTTACTTTTCAAAGAGAAGAGGGTACTGGGGGGAGGTTTGGGTGGGGAAAAAAGTACAACAATGAATGAATGGAAAGCCAAAGTCTCTGTAAATGTTCATTAAAATTAATAATAATAGTAAAATAAAAGAGCTATATTATGTTATCTTTTATGATCTGTGTAATTAAATGCATGTATAGAATAAATCCAAGCTTAAATGTAAGAATTTGTGATTCAGTCCTCGACTGGCTGATAAATCAACAAATACCACATTTAAGTTACGTTTATACAGAACAGGTCTTTCAAAACATGTAACAGAATACCTGAACTCTCTACAGAGGAGTGGATAAATAAGACGTTTAAAGGAATCATCCAGTGAATTATGTAACACCTTCATCAACTCTGGTCTTGCAAAGCCACGTGGTCTCCACCTGCAAAAAAAGGACCAAAATAGGTAACAATATTTACTAACACTGACATAACAATTCAAAGACCATGAGTTGGTTCCTGGAAGTGCGGAGAAAGAGCTGAACCGTGAAAGGGGAAAAAAACCTTTATAGAGGCCAAGGTAACATAATCTGTGAGGAGAGACTATAGTGTATGGAAATTATTATGATGACATCTGGAATTTTAATTTTCCAGAACCTGGTAACTAAAGTTAAACATAAAACTTGGGAGTTAAAAAAAAAAGTCAAGAAATGACTAGAGTACTGTAATTTTCTTTTCCCATTCATCTGTTCCTGAGAGGTAACTCTTAGTAGACAAAAAGGAAATTCTGTTCTATCCTTTGCCCTCAGTTATTCTAGTTGTCACTGTAGTTGTTAAGTGTCCTTGAGTCAACTACAATTCATAGCGACCCTATGAAAAAGAGACCAGAACTCAGCACTATCCTGCACCATCCTCCCCATCTCCAATTTGCCGCAGCCTCTAGTTGTGTCAGTCCATCTTGTTGAATTTATTCTACTACTCAGACCACGCTTTCATCACTATCTACAAAATCTGAGATATTCAAGTGCTAGACGATCAAATGTCTGGGCACTGGAAGAAAGTCAAAGAGAAAATTCACAACCAGCATGGCTGCGTGTTTTCACCATTAACGGCATCTGTGCTATTCTCTTCTATGTAGTTTGCCAAGCTTAGAAGCAGGACTGGCATCCACTTCCATAAGAGCTTGCCTCTGGAAACCCTATGAACCTGCTGGAGAGACAATGAAAGACACCCAAGCATTGAGGACTGTCCTTCATAGGGTCGCTATGAGTCGCCTGCGACTCGACGGCACTTAACAACAAAAACAAGATGTTCAGATGTCAGGACACTGGAAGAAAAGTCAAAGAGAAAAATCAGAACCAGCACGGCTGTGTGTTTTCACCATTAACAGTATCTGTGCACTCGTCCCTCAACGATTACTGATTTAAAGCCAATTATACACTATTCTTCATTTCTATTAAAACATTTATACATCTTAGAAGAACTCTTACCTCCCTTAATTATCCAGGCTAGGAAACAAATTCAATTATCTGTATGTAAACAAGCAACTTGTTACATATAACACCAAAAGTTGGTGAATAACAACTAGCTGAACCCCTCCCATGGAAAGTTTTATTAGGTAAGTATATAGTTTTAAATTTCATTTCTGCCTTCTGGCAAAACATGCATCATTCTTTCTATTAAGTATTTAAACAAATATATAGCATGAAAAATGTTGTTGTTGTTCTTATTATTGTTGTTGTTGTTGTTGTTGTTGTTGTTGTTGTGTACCATCAAGTCAGAAACAAACTGTAGCTGACCCTCCAGTGGGCATTCAGAGGCTAAAATCACATAGGAGTAGACTGCCCAACGTTCTCCCACGGAGCAGCTGGCGAATTCAAAACGCACGCCTTCGGGATTGCAGTACAGATTCTTACCACTTATTTATTTGCTAATGCCTTCAGTGCAACTTGAATACCTTCCTTCTTTGCCATCATTCTTGATCTTCCTAAAATGGTTCCGTATCAACCAATTTTTTTGGTACAGTGACTGTGCACTCACTACATTTTCCTGTGATGCTTCCTGGATCCGTCAAGATTTTGCTGATATTGAGGCTACCTTAATAACACCACTAAGATCCAGCCCTGAAGTATAACAATTATACCTATTTCCCACATTACAGAAACTCTTTTTTGTTCCTTGGCCTAAAAAGTTCTACTCATCTTCTGGGCACAGTGGTTGGCACATTTGTTGCTGTTGTTGTGTATCATCAAGTCAGAGCTAATAACTGCCCCTCCAGTGGTTTTCAAAGGTAATAAATCACAAAGAAAGGGATTATCCATCTTTCTCTTATGAAGCAGCTGGTGTATGTGAATTGTGTTCCTTTGGATTGGCAATATAAATCCTTACCACTAAGCCACCAGAGTTAAAACCCCTGCTTGGCACACAAATAAACCAAAAGTAGTGTAGTAAATTCAGCTTGATGTTACTGTGTGCCACAGTAATGTCCTTATTTTAAATCCTCACTTAGAGTGACCATTAGGAAACTCTGGAACAACCCCATAAGGCTCTGAGAGCTAGAACCTTTACAGAAGCTCAGGTCTTTCCCCACAGAGTAGCAGGGGAAATCAAAGCTTAGTCTTTCAGTTTGCAGCCAAGAGAGAAACCATTGTGCCCCAAGGGCTCCTTAGAGTGAATTCACAGACCTCAGATAGCCCTTAAAGTAACTTTAAAATTAACTATAATGAGCCTGCTTTCCAAGGTTAACATCCTAAAACTTATTTCTCCCTCTAATTAAACAAACACCACTAAAATAAAGGACCTCACTTAAACAAACTCCCTATTATAAAACACATGCTATAAGCTGTCCACCAAGAAGAATACAAATGAAGGATAAAGACCCAAAACTTGCTCTTTCTCTCTCTGTCTTTCTCTCTCTCTCATTGCCATCAAGGTGGCACCTAGCTGACACTCCCATTTCCAAGGCTGTCAACCACACAGGAGGAAGCTGCCCATCTTTCCCCCACAGAGAGGCTCAGCTTACGGTTGGCAGGGCTGCGTACTATACAACTAGAACAAACACTTAGCGGGGACAGGAAAGTATTTTTAATAACTGGACACAACTCAAATCCTAATCTGTATGTTTTGAAAGTGACTGATTAGCCACTTGTTAAAAAGAAAATAATATTCACAATTTCAGCAAAGAAAAAAAACGCTTTTCTCTGAGATTTGAGATAAAGACAGATAACTTCGTCTAGTTTCAGTTATTAATTTAAAACAAAAATGAGTATAGAAAAAAAAACCCTTTTCTTTAAATCTACTTTTTTTTAAAGCTTAGCTCTTGAGCACAGAAAATTTCATTTTATAGGACTGTCCCATGTATTTAGAGCCCAGGTAGTATAGAGGTTAACCATATAGCCCCACAGTTAAAATATGTGTCAGTCTGCTTTCACAAAAACTGTAACCATGGAAACTCTGTGGGCAATTCTAGTCTATCCTAGAGGTTCATTTTGAGTTAGAAGAACGAATTATTTCATTTACTTTTCATCATTATATGTTGCTAGTAGGTGCCATCAATTTGACCACAACTCACAATTGATGTATAAAGGAAAGATCAGAGCCCTGCCCTGTCTTATGCCATCTTCATCATCTCTGCCACAACTGAGGCCATTGTTACAGCCAGTGTGTCAGTCTATTTCATTGAGGATCTTCCCTTCCTTCCCTGACCCCTCACTTTCTCAAGCATGATGTCCATTTCCAATTACTGGCCCCATCAAACAATATGCCCAAGGTATGTGAGAGGAAGTCTCATCATCCTTCCCATTAAGGAGTTTCCTGAAACATAAGACATATTTGTTTTCTTGAAAGTCTACTGGGTATTTACTACTTTATCCAGCACCACATCTCAAAGGCATTGATCCTTCTTCTGGTATCTATAATTATTGTCAAACTCAAGATGCATAGCAAGTAAAGGAAAAAAACATGGCTTTTGTCAGACACATCTTAGTCTTTAAGCTGTCATCCTTGCTCTTCAGCACTTTGGAGAGGTCCCTGAGCACAGACTTTCCAAATGCATCACATCTTTTGATTTCCAACATCATTGTCATCCAAGTAAGACAAAATCATTGACAATTTCTATCTTTTCTCCATATATCGTGATGGTGTCTACTGACACAGTAGTGGGAATTTTCTTTTTTAAAATTTTTTATTTTAATTGTGATTTTAACAAATGTTTACAAAAAAGTTAGATTTTCATTCATTCATTGTTGAAACATTTTATCCCCTCTCCCTCCTTTTCCTTTCCCAAAGTTGACTTTTTTTTTCATTTTATACTTTTCTATTTACAAAAATCTAATACATTGTTTTCAAGAACAGATTCTTCCAACATAATTCACATCAAAGGCTACAGCCATTGATCTTTGGCAGCAAGTGCTCCAAGTCCTCTACACTTTAAGCGAGCAAGGGTGTGTCATCTGCATAACACAAGATGCTGATGAATCTTCTCTGATCCTGATGCACATTCTTCTTCATAAAGTCCAGCTTCTTAAATTATTTGCTCAGTATAAAGACTGAATAGATATTGAGAAAGGCTATAGACCTGAGGTACACTTTTCTTGATTTTCCCTTGCTCTGATCAGGCAAAAACGTCTTGGTCTAGATATAGGTTTGGCATGAGCACAATTAAGTGCTCTGGGATTCCCATTGTTCTTAATGTTAGTCACAATTTGATATGTTCTATACTACCAAATGTCTTTACATAGTCAATAAAACACAAGTATCCTCTGGTACTCTCTGCTTTCAGACAAGATCCATTTGACATGAGCAATAATCCCTGGTACCACAGTCTCTTCAGTATTAAGAATTAATCTCTGGCAGTTCTCAATGTACTGTTCCTTTTTTTTTTTAATACTCTTCGAGATTTTACTTGAATGTGTTATTAATAAGTATATTGTTCACTAATTTTCATATTCTGTTAGATCACCTTTATGCAAATGGAATCAAATATAGATCTCCTCCATTCTCTGGGCCAGAAAGCTGTTTTACAAACTTCTTGGCACAGCCAAGAGAGCACATCTAGGGTTGCATGTTTGTTGAAACATGTGAAAAATATATATAAGGATGCATCTCTCTGTTGAAACACTGGCAAAAGAATAAGGCCTAACAATTCATGAAATACCAAGTGACAGGTTTCAACAAACAGATGTGGCTCATAATTTCATAGTACTTTATATATTTTAGTCATCCTGCATATATATTTAATGCTTCAGAAATTGGATAGAGGGTTGATATGAGTCAGAATCAACTGAAGAGCAAAGCATTTTTATACATTTACGGAAATCTGGTGGCTTAGTTCTTCTTAGTGAGACTGCTTGCTAATCAGGAGGTCTGAGGTTTGAACCTACAAGCTGCTTCATGGGACAAAGACAGGCAGCTTTTTCACATAAAGACTCACAGCCTTGGAAACCCAACATCGTGTCTATAGTAATTAATGTTATAGAATAAATGAATGACTTAAAAAGAAATACAAAGTGCTCTTAAAAACGTTCACAAGAATCACAAAAAGTGTTTTTAAAAATAATTATCTAGAACAAAATATCTACATTTTGAGGGACACTACGAATATCGTTCTGTCACTTGTTTTGGTTTTTTTTTTTTTTAATTTAATTTTATTATCTTTGTGTGAGTGTACCGTCAAATCAGATCTGACTGGTACAGGAGGAGATTGTTCCTCCTTCCCCAGCAGAGCATTTGGTGGATTCGAACCATGCGCCTCTACGATTGTAGTTGCAGCTCCTTACCACTAGGCCACCAGAGCTCCTCAAGCTCACTTGTTTTTTTAATGTTATGAATACCTTTCTATATGTGTTCATGTAGTTTCCATATAATATTTTCCAAGGAGGGGGAAACTGCTCTAAAAATCTATACACAGACCTGTTTTGGATACACCATCTACAAAATTCATTCTTCACTTGGTCAGGAAAGTTGATCTTGACTGTCAATATTTTCAAATTTTCTCCACGATTAATTGCCAAAATCTGAAAGCAAACATATAATAGCAAAGATAATGATTTTAAATAATGATATATAAATATTTAAATGATGAACCTAATCAGAAAAGACCTGATGAGCTCAGGCGCATTCAGGGTGGTATGGCCATAGAAATCAATAAAGAAAAAAGAATCAAGTGGCATTGATTCTAGCCATATTAATTCTCTATTAGTTTCCAAGAACTTATTAAAAAATCATCACATATTTATATTCTTTCAAGTAAAACACCTTACAGATAAATAAAACTGTATCATACTTTTGAAAACTAAAAACAAACACAAAGTCTATAACAGAAAGAGGTTTGGGTGATCTAAACTCTCATTTAGAGTCGGTCTGCAGTCTTCAGAATGGATTGAAGCTCAACATCAAGAACACAAAAGGTTTTTTTCCCCTCACATTTTGCTCACCACTGGCCAACTGGCAGCACCATGATAGATGAAGAAGAGATTGAGGTTGTTAGTAATTTCAGCTTGCTCAGCTCCACAATCAACACTCTTGACACCAGCAGTCAGGCATATCTCAAAAGTGCTGAAGAGCAACAATGTCAGTCTGGAGACTAAAACGTGCCTGATTCACGCACTTTGCAATTACTTGCTATGCCTCAGAGAGCTAGACAATGCCCAAAGATGACAGAAGAGCTGATGTCTTTGAGTTGTACTGCTGGAGAAGAGTATTGAACATACCATGGACTGCCAAGAGAACAATTAAGTTTATCCTGGAGATGGTGAAACCAGATTGCTCTCTGGAGGCAAGATTGTGGACTTGTGGCCATGAGGGATCAGTCTCAGGAGAAGGGACAGAATAGGAGAGAAAGACCCTGGATGAGATGGATTGACATTAACTGGGATAACGTGGGTAGGTGTGTCAGAGCATGAGACTGGATCAGGATAGAGCAGAGTTCAGAGCGACTATACACAGGGTCACTATAAGTTGCAGGTGACTCAATGCCACAAAACAACAATAATCAAAAATGATCATTGAGAGAGGGATGATTGTGGGGTTTTTTTGTATTTGTGAAAAGATATTAAAAAATAAACACAAGTAAACCTAATCCTAAGTATCATGTGAATTGCTATTAACTCTAACTATTGAGCATAGCTAGTCTCATGCATCAGAGAGTTGGACAATGACCAAGGAGGATAGAAGGAGAATTGATGCTTTTGAGCTGTGGTGCTGGAGAAGAGTATTGAGAGTACCCTGGACTGCTAAGAAAACAAACAGATTCATCCTGAAAAGGGTTAAACTGGGCGGCTCTTTGGAGGCAAGGATTCTGAGGTTCCACCTAACATACTT